TAGAGAGAGATATAAAACCAGGCAAAGAATAAATAAGTCAAGATTCGCGTCCTTGCTCATTTTCACTCGTAAGCAGGGCGGAGGGAGGCGAGTTTTGCGAGTGTGCCGCGGTCAGATATCGCATTACTAGTAACGCGAACGTTCGGTTCTGCCGAGTTGGGTTTTAGCTGATAAAGAATTTTTCCCACATTCATGACCAATGTTTTGTCATTTTATGGAATAAATAAGTAAGTCGTCGTCAGCTTTAAACGCTTGCAGCGCTCATACTCTCCGCACTTGTCGATCATTTATCTATTTGATACTGAAACATACGTTTATAACGGCGCACTGTTTACGTTACGGGGTGGAACTTCGAAAAAAAAAATCACGTTTAGTAACGCAGTGGAACAGCAGAGTCTACGGAAGTACAGTCAACTAGTACCTTTTGCAATAGTAATCCTACTTTAACTCGTTATTGAAAAAATAGTCCATTACAGAGCGTTACTCAACGCGTTACGCCATTTCTTGCTTAGGTACTGCCTACATTAGATTTTAAATGAAATCAGACTTTAGATAACAAGCATTCAATATGTTTTTTAGAAATTTCTACACTCTTGTGATTACATATACAGCAATATCATGGCAAAAGAAATATTCAAATTACTCAATGTGTTTACACCATTATGATAATCTCAGACAGCATAAAAAAAGCTTAACAGTATATATTATTTTTATGAGTCCCACATTGAGGCTAACTCACTCCGCTCATGTTTTTGCTGATTTCTTTTTTCATTAGCTGTTGTTTAAGTGAAGACGCTCATTTAAAGCTACATTTACTCTTTGAGTTTTTTCATTGTACACTTAAACAGATGTAAACACCTCATGATTGTTAAAACCAATAAACTCTCTCAGGACCTGTGGACCAGGACCAGTGAACACTGTTGGGGCTAATCCAGAGGTAGAAGTAGGGAAGGGTACCGGTATCGGTTCTGACATAAACGGTAGTAACCAGACCGAAAAGCAGCGCACATTTCGGTGCTTTATTTCGGTGTTTTTTTTCCCCTGAGCTGTGATACACTTTGAATTCTAGCCAATCATTTTACCTTTCCAAGGATAGTAGGCGGGCCCAGGTACGTACGTTCTTTTAGTGCAGAGCTACAGATTAATAATGCCCAAGGTGAAGAGTCAAAAGTCTGGCTGTACTTCACAGCAAAAGATGCAAACTCAGCAGCCTGCAACAAGTGCTTTAAGCTGATACTGTGATACTGTCAAAGGAGGTAACACCTCAAATCCGATGAAACACCTGGGTGACGCATAGCTAAGAAATGCGCCGTATTTGATAGCTTGCTGCGAGACCTCACACCGAGCACATCTACTGCGGGTGGGTTGCCTGTTATCGGACCCGAGCAACATCCCCCAAAAACACGAAGAGAAAGTCCTGGCCCCTAGCCCTGCCAGTGTAGCAGAAATGATGAGGATGATGATGCAGCAGCAGCCGAGTAGCTTAATGTTGTTCGTTTGTAATTTACGTTGAGTAGGCTAACCACGTTATTACATTAATGCATGTAAGGTGAACTAGCAAACATCATCATAGCTACATGCGGCTGTCTTCTTGTTTGATGGCAGATACTCCCTTCACCCTGGCCAAAAAGGCTAAAATGACCAAAGAAAAAGTGGAAAACAGTTAAACATGAGAGGTTTTTGGACAAAGTTTGTGTTTTTTCCATTGTTTAAGCACTGCTTCCAGCCAAGAGTGATACCATATATGCCCTATAGCTGCAGAAAAGGCTAACATTGTTATCTTTTTACAAAAAAACAGCTGAACATGAGAGGTTTTTGGACCAATTTTGTGTTCTCCATTCTTTAAGCACCGGTTTGAGCACCGTTTAAGCACCGGCACCGTTTCAAAAGTACCGGTTTGGTACTGGTATCGGATAAAACCTAAACGATACCCATCCCAAGGTAGAAGAATACCATTTAACTGTAAACCAACCACAACCTTGTCCCGCCCACACGGTTGTGGTTGGCAGCTGATAAAATAGAATTATTATAAGAGTTGAGTATAGTTTTGCAGCAGTGCGAAGAAGGAAAGATTAAACCCAAAATGCAGACTCATAGGCAGAACGTAACTCAAAAACACAGCTTTATTGCTGGATGTAGTAATCCAAAAACCAAACAGGGGCAGACTAGAAACTTAAACTAGCAAGAAAAACACACAGCTGGAGAATGAGGGAGATCACGGCGCAGGACAGAGAGAGACACAGGCATAAATACACACAAAGAGGGAACAAACCACAGAAGGCAACACGGCTGAACATGATGTAACTAACAAAACAGTCAAAGAAACCTGAACATGATGCACACCGGACATGGGACTGTCAAAGCAAAGCAAAGTAACTCTTTTTTTTTTTTTTTCTTCTCATCTTCTCTCTGATCATTTGCCTTGTTGTTCTTGATGCATGACTATACACCTGGCCAGTGGTAGGGCTGCCACGATTAGTCGACTAGTCACGATAGTCGACGACTAATTTAATAGTCGACGCGTCGTTTGAAGCTTTGTAAGATCCCAAAAGACGCAGGAATAAGTAGTAGGATTTAAGAGTGTAATAACGGACTGAAACAGAAGATGGCAGCACTGCATGTACAAGGATGCCAGCTGCCGTTAAACCCCGAAGAAGAAGAAGCTGTGTCCCAGAATTCATAGCGCAGCCCAGCTCAGTTTCCAACAATGGCGGCAGCTAGTTAGTTTTAATATTACTCTTATTATTCTTTCTGGGTCATAAAATAAACATTTAACGTGTTTTCAGGCGAGAATGTAGCTGTGTAAACCTCAAATATCTGCTCAGTTTATCAAGACACCACATATTTTCAAAAGCGCACCGACGTTTTCGGAGATGTCTTATTACCCACCAGCTCGATAGCGAGCTGGGGTTCAAGCCTCACTAGAGCTGGTGAGAACACCGGACTCTGGGCAAATCGTTTTCAAACCCACCGCCGTCTTTCGCTACTCAGGTTAAACATGATATATAAGTCACTTAGATAACTTAAAAATGTTATTGTTTGGCTTTTTTCAGTATTTTATTTGTTCCTGAGTAAATCGGCTGAGTTTATTGAACTCCACCGCAACAATCTGCACATTTCATTAAAATTTAATAAACTGTATCACCTCATTCATCATCAAATATTTAACGTGACTGCACAGAAATGCGCCTTACCAGACTGGACTGAAGAGGGTCCAAGTCTTTCTGCCACTTTGCTCCTGGACTGGCATACTGATGATCAATCTGCCATTCCAGAGTCCCATATGAGTGGTCCAGGAGAAACTTCCTTTCATTTGGTGGATCTGATAATATGCAAATATGTGGCATGACATACAAACTTTAATCAATTTTTAACATTAAATCAAAATGTAATTGCAACTACTTATTGCATGCCATACTCTTACTTTTTGATCTGTGGTAGTTTCTCAGCCTGGACACGTTTACCTTCTGGCAAGTTGCTCCCTTCACAATAGTGGCCACCCCCTTTGGCGTGATGCTGGCCACAGTGTACGGTCCTTGGTGTTGGCTCAATAATGCATCTCCAGTGCGTCGTCTCTTTGGATCACCTGACAAAAGAACATCATCACCTGCTTGAACAACACACTGTCTTACCTGCTTCCTTTTCCATGTTCCAAAGGTCTTCTTCTGGGTGTCCTGTGCCCTCTCGATGTTGCAAAGAACCTAAAAAAAATTACACAAAATGCAGAGTGAGAAAGAAAAATATCTATTATTCACCAAGTTGCCGTGGAAATGCTCAATCTGTAAATATAGAAAAGCTATTTACTACAGCAGAAAAAGTGTTGAATACACAATAAAAATGAGAATGTTATCAACCACATTTTCCCTTTTTCCTCAACAAACCTCCTTTCCCTGTCAGCCATCCCCCTTCAAATGTACAGATCGTTTCATTCAGAACTGTCATTTCCTCAACTCTTGTGTCGATGTCCTCTTCAGGATTTGCAACCTCAAAGTCATCATCCATGGAACAGCCATTCATCACAGCAGGAAGACGTGGATGTCGATAGAAGAGCAGGAAATAGGGACTGTGGCGGGTGGAGTCCTGATCACACAAAATCTCTCCATTATTTCACTTTCTCTTGCACTTGTCAATAGCTTTTTTTTTTTTTTTTAAAAACCTAAGTTTAAAAACACATTCTTAAAATGATGCAACACTATAAAGCATCTTAAAAGGAATACAATATGTCAAAACAGGAATACCTGCTTTGCAGTGTTGATGCCATACACCACAGCAGCAAGGTGAACATCCCAGTCATCATGGTTCTGGTTGACGTACTTTCTGAGAGCACGCTTAATGTTCTGGTTGGTCCTCTCATCCTTTGAGTTTTATTGTAGCATAGATAAACAAGCATGACTGATTTCGCATGTTTAATATTCAGCATGCTGAAAATGCTGTTGTTGAGCTGCAGCGACATGAGCAGACTTGGCCTAAATACATCATATCATATCATATCATATCAAGGTATGAATAACACTTTCAAAAGTTTTACCTGGTTCACAAACTCCTTTCTAGTGATGATTTTCCTGACCATGACAAACGTGTAAAACTTAGAGATCATGATGGCAGAGACCTCAGCTGCAGTCTTGGACTTAAGAGGTTCTGCAATCACCCACTTAGTATACAGATCGGTCATTGTCAGGACATATGGGTTCCCCTAGACGTGTTTCCGGGAGTGGTCCAATTAAATCCATGCCCAGCACCTCCCAAGGTTCTTTTACTTGCAGGTCACAGAACTTATCAAATTAAAATTTAAAGCTACCCTGCAGCACAAAAGCTTATTAGCATGAAAATGAAATTGTTGAACAGACCTTAAGATGTACCTTGATGGGATGTAATGCTGGTGCCATAGTCTTGATTAGGTCATTCATCTGGCAGCGATGACAGCATCTGACCTGAAAGATGTATCCCAAAAAATATTTCAAGGATACCGTAAAACCAGTTGATGTAAATTGATAACAATTTAAAAAAACAAACAAAAAACAGACACACAAACACACACACACACACACACACACACACAGAAACTAATGTTGAAATGTAAGTGTGTAAGTAAAGACAAGGTTCTTTATCTTTTTAACTGAAATAAGGCCATACCCATTGACCGATGTCCTGGTTCAATGTTGGTCAGTAATAGCCAGCAACAACCCTGTTTCGGGTACTTTTGACACCACTGTGGTTCCCGGTAGCAGGGTTATTGTGGCATTCCACCAAAACTGACTTCTTCTTCTCCTCCTCTGACTACCAGGCGCATGCACTGCATACTGGGGCCAGTGTAGAAGAGTCTGTTGTCTGTTACAAGACGAAAATGAAAAAAGCTGAGAGAGTTGCTGACTAAAGTAAATGAAAATGTCTGACAGATATTGATAAAGTTTGGGATAATGTATCTGCAGCAGTATGGTACATTTATCTTCAATTGAAATAAATTTTTAAAACTATATATAGGGTAGATATGATAGAGTTGTATTTTTTTTCAAAATATTATATACACACATATTATATATATACACTCAACAAAAATATAAACGCTCAACAAAAATATAAACGCAACACCTTTGTTACTGCTCCCATTCCCCATGGGATGGACGTAGAGACCTAAAATTCATTCCAGATACACAATATAACCATCCCTCCCAAACA